TCGAAGCTCTGGAACAGACTGTGAATCGTATCTTTTATTTATGGACGGATTCGGTGTGATACATAAATAATTTCTTCAACAGGGTATCGGGGGCTTGCGGTGCCAATCCCAGCCGGGGTTGATTTGCAATTTAGGTGTGGCACTGAAGGCCAGAAGTGCTGGATTTGGCATTGAGAAAAAATAGACAAGAGCTGTGATCGTGTGTGACACTGAATAGGATTACCATCTGTAGCCAAAGAGCCGATTGCTGCCTTAGATTGTATTAAAATGAGGGGACATCAGATTGGTTTGTGGTCGTGACAAGAAAGCAGATTTTTTTTATATGTAGCTTTTGCTTAGTGCCAGAATCTAAACAGTCCTACTTAAAGCTGCCTACGCATTTCAAATATGCCTTTAATTTCATATTTTTTTTGGCAGTTTTGTAGTGTAGATTACTTGACACAACATTGACTCCATTACATCCCACACAGTTTCAAATGAAATAGATGACTTGTGTAGTATATGTGTATTTTCCACATCTTTCTTGAACTATTAGATGGAGGCAGAGTGGAAATGTTGCTTCCTGTTTAGTCGGTTCCAAGAACTCTGAAAGAGCAGTAGGAAAAAAGGTATTTCCATTATGTTCCAGCTGAGGCAGCTTAACTTCCTCTTTGTTCTGTCTATTGATTCTAGTGTACTCTGGCTCTGTGCGCCAAGCCAGCGAACCACCCACCAGCTGTCCTTGCGATGTCAGGGATGTGAATAGGAGTTTGATAAAGCCACAGATGGCATGCTGCTCCCATCCCTCCATAAGTGCCATTCCTGATGTGTTGCCGCAAAAATGGAGTCGATACAACTTCTACCACTGGAGCTGAAAAATTGATTAGGATGAAGAGGGCGGAAGGTCCCAAGATGTTGGTGAGTCAGTGTGCCTGGCTGAATGTATAGTATGTGTTCTAAACAAGGCACGTAAGGTGCACTTTTGCATGGGTGTGTGGCTCAGGCTGTCTCATATGATTTTCAGCCTCTTTTTACTGTTTCAAAGAACATTTATCTACTACACATCTAATAAAAGTTTAATCATTATTATTTATTAAAATTGTTTATTACATAATTAAAAAATAGTGATGTTAGAATGTGATAGATGTGATGATAAAAGGTGTAACAGTGAGGAAAATTCTACCTGGTATCACTGATTTCTCCCTGTGGAGCTTTTTTTGCATTACCATATCTTTTAAATATAAGCTTGCCATATCACAGAAGACAACAAATCAAATGAAATGATACGCTTATATGCAGGTTACTGAGTGAGGCTGAAATTCACTATAAGGCCCAGCCACATCTCTATTTAAGAGGATAATTATTTTTCAGCAAAATCAATAATTTCAATGGAATTACCATGACCAGTCGCTTCTCTTGTCGGGATAATGAACATCTGCACACACTTGTTGCGTTTGGTTTAACTTGTGAACTTTGACACACAAATGAATCAGTGCCATTGATGAATAGCATGTCGTCTTGACAGTGCTGTGGAGAGGTGGAGAGGATTTTAACTCACTCTAACTACACTTTTATTTAACCCTCCTCTGATGAAGTATAAACTGCTCCAGAAAGGAATGGTTTGCAGGCAGTTATGGAACAGGAGCTGATGGTATAAAATACATATTTTGAATTAATTGAACTCATTTTGAGCAACTGAGCTGAACAAGCTTGCTAACTGACAGTTAACGCGAGTTATCATATACACAGACAGCATAGAGAAAACAGAGCAATTGTGACTCACTGACTAGCTCTAGCATCTTCCCGGGTAGCTAGCGTGCTAGAGTTTTGGCTCGATTGCCACAGCCATTAGAGTAGTCCATACGCAACCATTTAATAAAGACGACTGGAATACCTTTAGTGTGGCACTTCATAGTGTAACCAGGCCTTTAAAGTTAAAGGAATTCATCCTCAGACACATAGATTAGAGACACAAACTAAATAAAACCACAATAAAATTCAACATCTCAAATTATGCGACATCCTCTCCCAGCTGTCTTACACAGGCTATGTACTGTGCAGTAATTAGTTTTAATTTGGTGCTCGCAATCATTTTGCAAGACTAGGTGTAACTTTGTGGAGATTTGCAACAGATCTTTCTGAACAGGCAAACAAACAAACTGACTAGCAAATAAATAAATAAAGTTACTTCCATTGTCAGGTAGCAGGCAGCCTTTGCTCTATGAGAGTGGTGCTGCTGCTCAAAGGAAGAAAATGACTTTGTGAAAACTTCAACTCTCCATATGGAGCCACACTTTTAATTTCTTTTGTTACAGTGACGGTTGAGCCAGCCGCTGAAACTTGCTCAGTGAGGGGTCCAAGGACGTCTTATCGTTGACTTGTGAAAGCTAGACCTACAAGGACCTGCAACCTCTAACTTCTATCTAAGCTGTATATCACTGTACCTATACATGATAAGCATTCATGAAACAAAATACAAGCTGTACTTTCTTACTTCTAACTACTACTACTACTTTATTACTACCCTTTAATTAAAAACAGCTGAGGGAAGACATTTGAACTAGGCTTTGTGTTCCCAGTTATAGCATATTCAAATAGTCTGGGAAAGAATATGAAGCTGGGGGCTCATATGCCACTGCTCATCATATATGCATTCAATATTATTTACAATGTTGACTGCAGTTTAGGTGTCCCTGAACAGCATCAATTTGTGTTTTGAGATCTACTGCTGTGCATTTCAAAGAGTGTCATTGATTAACTGAATATGGATACTGGATTGCTAAAAAGCTAAGTGCTCCAGTCACATTGCTGAGCCTCTTCTTTCCTAGATACTGAGTACCCCTTGTCTTATGTTATGTAACTTTCTTTTGGTGCCACCAGTGCTGACAGTGGCAGAACACAAGGACTGCTCATGTCTAAAAATGTCCTCTTAATACCCCCTCCCGAGTCTTAGAAGTGAAAGGAGGAAGGACAAGGTGTTGATGTGACACAGAACCGCGGGGAACATCACTAGCGAACAAAATCCTCAGGTCTTTTCTTTGTGCACTGCATTCTGACCCCTGACAAAAAGCATCATGCTACACTCCAAAAATCACACTTGGATTTTTGCTTAGCTATTTATGATAGTATAAGAAAATACATTCATGCATGTTCAGTAACACATGTTGTAGTTGCTACTTTTTCTTTAAATCTGGTGTAGAAAAAGAGAAAGTTGCTCTAAATATTCCACCCATACTCTAAGAGTAAGCAGACCATGTAGAGGAATTATGGCGCTCATTTTCACTTCGTGGCTGAGGATGTTTGCAGCATGTTACGCCTGCTCTTAAAGGCAGAGCAATGGTCTCCATCCAGTAGTTAATCAACCTTTTGTGCCATAATCTGCATTTAAGTGCAAGAGACTTGGATTTAACCTTACAACGTTTTTGTGCTAATAGCTAAATACAGCCCAAAGCCAGAAGCAAATGTCATAAAACACCAATTTTATTGCACTAACATGTCATAAAGGTAATTGTCTTTCACACACACACTCTGGCCCTTAAACACTGCTGTATAGCTTCTTTTCCTCAAACTGTCACCACAAACGGTCTCAAGTGTGCCACTTTACCTTCTGCAGAGCCCGTTCAGAGAAAGGAACCTTGAACAAAACTATTAAATCACAGAAGGTGATACAACTGCAATATTGGATATGATGTTGTTACTGTATTTTAGGGGTAAGAGCAGTTATTTGCCACTTTTAGTCACATCCGCAAGCTTGAAAGAGCAATTGACCTTTCGCTAAGCCCTGCCCCCCTTAGTTACCAAGCTTTCTGTTCTTGCATGGCGCAGTTTAAAATGGATTCACTCAAGGCAGATGACCACCCACCTAGAGCCGGAAGGGGCTCTTCTAGGGGTTTCTGCCTTCTTAAAGGCATGTTTTTTCTTTGGCCTCCGTCGCAATTGGCGTTTGCTCATGGGTGGCTACTGTTGGCGCTCTCTCGTAAATGTTTATAAGGAGTTAAGGTCTAGACTCTGCCCCTCTATTTGAAAAGTGTCCTGAGATAACTTCTGTTATGAATCGGCGCTATACATTGAATTGAATTGAATTGAACTTGTAATTCTTAGTGATTTCTGCATGGACAAAAGCAGGCATTCCCATTTCTAGCTGGCGATTGTCTTTTGACAGCTGTAAGGACAGCTGGCAATTTTATCTGCTGTAGCTAGCTATCTATTTAAGATAACGTTGTCACCAGCTGACTCGTTTTAAAAGGAGAACTCTGAAAAGGGTCTTAAATGTGAACTCTATGGCTATATACATGATATTGTGCTAAAACACAAGTTAAAGCTGCATGTCCTAAGCAAAAAGTCACCATCTTCGCCAGTTAAGGATCCATGTGGAAGATAAAGAAACAGCATTATGCTTGCATTGCAGTGGTATAGTGTTAGGTAGTTAGTAAGGTAAAGAAAGGTTACTTATTCCAGGTTACTTCTGTAGGTAAGCTAGTTAGCTGGACATGCTAACATTTACAGCTTACGTTAGAGCAGATAAACACAGTGTTTAATCAATTCCTGAGAGGTGTACTCTTGTTTTTTTGGGTTGGAAAGGTTAAAAAACTCTTTATCTAATCACTCTTAATAGAGCCCAATGTTCACCACTTCAACATGTGGATAAATCCAAAGGTTGACAGGCCTGCTGCCTAATATGGGTGTTAACCTATAATTGGACAATCACGGCTTTGGGGAGAAGTTTAGCAAATGGTCAATTCTAAAAGGATTTACTGATTTATTTTCTAATTGAAATTAATCGACAATCACATTGTTTCTTGTGTTTTATCCAACAAATCATTCCTCTCCTCTGTTATTTTACACAGTGTATTAACTAATTTCAAATACCTCATCTTAGTTTCCAAAAGTTGCTTTCTCAGACAAGAATCTCTGTCAAAAAAGGCATTTGCTACTCTATTCATCAACAGTGTCATTTAATGAGAGGCACTTACAGTAGACTCTAACACAATTGTGTTTAATGACAACCTCTGGAGGAAAATTAATCTCTCAAATGAAATTGGTCTCAGTGCTCAATATGTCACCCAGTGGGATGCAACTTCATTTCTATTCATTGACCCTCCATGAATTACAGCTCATTTCCTGAACGTGTCGCTTCTCGGAGGCTCCCGCAGCAGGATGCAGGCTTTCAACCGTACCAGCTCAAAAAACCTTCCCCTCTTTCCATTTGATTCAAGGATTAGATCTGATTAAACATTTGAGCTGGACAACCTCTGCGACAGCCATGCAATCTCCTTTTTTTTTCTCCAAGACTTCTTGTAAAATTTACATAAAGCTGATGGCATTTTGGCTTGGGATTCTTCTGATTCTCCCACCTTTCAGGAGCACAACAAGGATGGGTTACAGCACATTAGTAAAAACAACTTTAGTTGTCATTTGTTGACTGATATATTGTTACCAGCAACTGTTGCTTCAGTGAATTCAACAATTGACATTGATAGCTTCCAAGAATCCTTTAAAATGACATTCAGCTATTGTCATTGGCTTCTGCCTATCTACAAACAATACACTTCTACACTCTACACATCTTGTCTCAAATGTCATATTACTACTTAATAAAATTACTACTGTTCAACAACAAGACAAAGACATGTTTTTCTTTTTCCCTTTGGTGGAAGTGTATTGTGTAAGTGTGTATGTAAACATAGTTTTGACAGCAGCTCTCAAATGAAGAGAACCATGTGCCACACAAGCAAAGAAATAATACAACCAAACTCCTTATGCACTTAGTCCACATCTAGGACAGTTCGGCAGCAATAGAAAACAAGTAATACATCTTTTTGTTTTGCGTAGTCATGAAAATATCTGTTTTATACAAAAATTAAATACAGTTACAGTATGTTACAACTTTTTTTCCCATACAGGTGAGCTCAAGCATGACTACAAAGCCTCTGAAAAATAAAACGAAAATGTACTAGATTGGTACTTGTCACGGGGCTTGATAATAATACATGTGCAGCATTTGGCAAAACAACGGACACCCTTCAGCAAAGTAAAATCACCAGAGTCACCAAAGCACAGGGAGGAGAAAGTGAGGGAAAAAGGGAAGAGCGAGGGAAAGAAAGGGAAAGGAGAGAAGAAGGTAACAAGTAAGGAAGGAGGCAGTGAGGCAAGATGTTTTAAGATGTTCCCGTCCACATTATTATTTTTTAATGACTTCAGATGATACTTAGAAATCATGTGTCTAGTTTTGTATAGTTTTCTCTCAGAATGTGGGTAGCGCTATCCGAGTCTCCAGCGTTTAATGAAGTATCAGCCAATGACATAATCACACAGCGAGGGCTCCAACTGTTTCCTCTGTGACACAAGACAGCAGTGACTTCACCAAGCCTTTCATAAATCCATCTAGTATTCAGTATAACAGATCAGTGCACCACCTGTTGCACTAGTAACACTGTCACCCACAACTGAGGCCTTGTCTTGAGATGCAAAAGAGTTGCTTATATTGTATTCTTAGCACATTGTCCAGACATCCTTTGTCCTTCATGTTCTTAAGGTTGAGTGTTCAGTCTCAACATGTGTGGTCTTAGGGTTTTGGTTGAGGATGGGAGGCCGTCCAGGTCTCTCAGCAAAGGGAAACAATCAATAGTGGGAGCACTACGAGGGTAAGAGCGAGCTGGCGGCTGATGGGGGGGTGATGGAAGGAGGCCCGTCCAGACAATTGGTCATCACACTCCCCGGGGCCCTGGCAGCGAGCTCTCTCGCACAGGACACCCGTGAAGCCGGGAGAACAATGGCACCGCTGATGGTGGTGGCACGTGCCACCGTTCTGACAGCGCAGCATCGCGTTGTCACACACCCGAGCTGCGGAGACAAAGCAAAAAGGGCAGGGGAGACAGGAAGGGGTGATTAATAGATCACTCAGTGATAGGGCGGCAGAGAACATCAACAGGCAAGTTCACAGGGCACAAGCTGCCTCTTCTTGTCCTGTCTGCATTGCTCTGTGTCCTTAGAGTACAGCTGACACATTAGGGAGGGTGAAACCAAGGACTTTTGTGTAGAAGTGTGCAGAGGAAGAATAGACAGATAACCAGGGCACATACTGTATGAATACTAGAATGCAACCCACAGCCTGTGAAAATTCATTGCATGAATGACTGTTTATGACAAAAGAACACAGACAGACATTGTATGGATATTTTTGGGAACACCAAAGGGACTTTAGAGCAAATAATTCTGGCAAAACAAAAGAGCAAACAAACCATGGCAGTGATGAGGTGAAATTAATGTTTAGTGAATCGGGGGTTACAGAGTATTGTGAACAGCCGATCTCTGCAGGACAGGAGAATTAAATTTTGCTTCCCTCTGGCACAATGACACTCATAGACACACACAGAAAGAGGAGAAGAAATGGGATTGATACCTGGCTCCACTTACACCATCTCTGCCTTTGATATGCAAATAAGCATTTCTAGGTAATTGCACCAATTGCTGTTATTTTCTTCTCTGCCATTAACCCTTACAACAAAGAATGCAACCCTGTGAGAAGAAAAGGAGATAATATCCAGGAATGCATTTCTTTAGCGGCCACCAACATATCTTTGTTTTGATATAGATTGATTAGAACTACATAAGCTGATATTCACATTTCCAGACAAAAACTCACGACTCAATTATCCCAGGAAGCCCCTCTGCTGGCAGAGGTGAAATCCTGGAAGAGGTAATATTTGCCAAGAGATTTCAGTGTAATTGGATATCTCTCCCTGCATAAATAGTAATCACATTTTTGGTTTTCAGTAATGTGGCTCATGCATCAGAATAAACTCAACAAATAATCATTGCTTCTGCCAAAACTGATTAAAAAGGCATCGGTATTGCATTTAACTTAATTATATTCCCATCCCTTTCACACAGACACCACTGCTGTTATGTGCTTTAAATGGAAATTCCACCTGTGGATATAGGGTTTATTGTCAATATGGGATTTTCAATAATTCTGTGATGAAGTGTTGTAAACTACTCTTCTAGTGAACCCACTTTCCTTGCCTCAACTGCCTCTACTTTTGAAAACCCTGAGAGATTTGGTGTGACAGCCTTCTTGTGTAGAACTGTTTTTAGAAAGATTGATAATGATAGCAAATACAGCAGTTCTTCCAGTCAGTACTCCGTACTTAAAATGCAGCAGGTTTTGTAGCAGCGTTGCATGATAGATTTCTCCCTGTATGATTGTTGAACAGTGGTGCAAAATAATGAGTCTGGCAAGAAGCCGCTGCTCTTTGATTCAGAGACTGACACCAAAATCTGACATTTACAATTGCTATTTTAGATTAAAGATTTTCAGCCATAAAACTGCTTTGAATCGATACTGTGAATATGACATCATCATTTTTAGAATTAATGAAACACAAAAAAACAGACAACAGACCCTGATCTGATCTATAAAACATATCAGGAATAAGCTGTGTGTTTGCACTCATTCTTCTTTAAAGGGCAAATCAATACTGAGCAACAAAAATAATTATGGTGCAGATGTATGTAAGCGTGATTAACACATTTTTGATCATTTTCATAATTATAGCTATGAGTAGTTGGATTAGAATTACTATATCATTATAGGGTTTAATACAGGCTGGCATCAGACGTTGCTGATCAAATCAATTCCTCTCATTCCCTTTGAAAGCACTGTCCTCCCTGTCATGAAACAGCTTCTTTAGGTTGTAATGAAAAACACATTTTGTGTATGTTTTGCCTGGTGATGCAAAGTAGGGATGTGATTCTTAAAGTGATTGTAATAAATTATTTAAAAAAACAAAGGATCAATAACTATATGTAAAGTGAACCTGTAGTCCTCTTCTACTAATTTTTTTTGGCTTTCCTTCACGAAACATTACTGTTTTGGTTCACTCTCACCAATCTCATAGCATCGTTTTTGGCAGCTGCAGGCAGCTGTTTTCAGTGAAAAAGCTCTAAATATGCAGTTCACCCAACATTCCCAGCCCAGACAGACACTTAGCAACTAGCTGGTGAAAAACAGTGGAACATTCAGCAGTTTAAAGGACTCAGATTCAGATACGGTGGCATTTAGCAGTAAAGTTGCCAATTACAACCATTTGAATACAGCTCAGACTTACAAGTGTGTAGGAGAAAGTAAAGTCGCTGCGAAACCTTGTCTTGACCAGTCTTGGTCCAAGCCTGACAGGACCAAGCCCTCTAGTCCACTCATGCTGAGAAAAATGAACACCTTACTAGTGCAAAAGTGTCTGTACTTGAACTCTGCACGGATGAAAATGGACTCCTAAATCTCTGAGTGCTGTTGCTGTGTCCTCAGTGGGTTCAAACATTAATGCCCTTCTGGCTACACTCCAATCAGTAATGTCAGCTTTCTAATTTTACAGCTAATGGAAAACACCTGCCTTGTGTGTGTTGGTAAAAATTTCCATGGGATCAGCTGAGTCTCCATTGTCTAGTCTACACATTAACTTTGTTGCCTATGGCCGAAGGATAATCTGTGTGTCCTCCAGCTGGCCCTAAGGACCATTGTCTTTTTAAAAGCATCTGTAGCCCAATTAGTTTTCTTTTCCAGAGGCTTAAGCCTGCGGTGTCTTTGTGGAGCCATAGGGCACTGCTGTCATAAAAAAATACAGTGTAAAATAAATCAATTATCCCGTGTCACACAGAAAAAAAACTCACATAGTGACTGGCTCTGTGTGAAATAATAATAAGTTTGTAAGTTCTTCAGCATCTTCAGTTCTTATATATTATGGATACAATGAGCATATCAGTGATTTATTGATCATAAATTATACTCAACACTGTATGGTGTACAATAAGATGTATTTACACATGCATTACACATGCAGTCATCATTAGCGTAACTCATTTAAACCTTAACATTTATATCTAGGATCAAAGGTGAAATATACAATATAATCACCATCTCATAAAGTTTAAAGGGGCAATTTTGTATCGCACATAAAATTGGGGGACAAGAGAAAGAATAATCAAAATTAAAGCAGCAGAGCCTGAAATATCCTCACATTTAGTCTAGTAAATACAGGTAAAACCCCCGGAACACTGCATTCTACATTTCCCATAATGCAACTCAATATTGTATTTCGTTAGGGGTTATTCTTTCAGACAGTTCCAAAGGATTAGCAGTACTCTCTGTGATGAGTACACTGAACACAAAATTGGCAGAGTGCCTGTTTAATAATGAATAATACGTATGAAAAAAATAGATAATGAAATCTAATATGAGCCTTTTTTATCAGTTTTTACATACAATGTTCTCTTATGTAGGGGAGTTGACAAATCTGCCGGTGTGATGTCACTCACTCTCATACTTGTGCTGGCAGCAAGTGAGAACAGAGAAAATTCAAATCTTGGCTAAGCACCAGTATACTCTCTTCTGAGACATATGTGCACCTCACACCTCTGTCAGATGTGTGACATTTTAGCAGTATAACTGTTATGACAGATCCATCCTTGGGCCTTGGTGTTGCACGAAGCAACATGGAGAAAATTCACTGCAGCAACAGCAAAACAGTGATAGATAGGAAAGACAAAGAGCTGAATTAAATAATATATTGCTGCATGTGTGAGAGCATGATGAATTTGAAAGGTATTTTTCCTAAATATAATTTTGTCTTGTTGTATTTGATGACAATTCAACTCAACTCATTGAATTATTTAGTCAATTAGGACACATTTCATTTAGTATGATACTGAGATATTGGACATATTGTTCCTTCTATTGTGACTTTTTTAGAGAATCTGTCAGTCTGAGACATACTCAGGCAGGTCTCTAATCCTCTCATCTCAGTGAGCTCTTGATGTCCTCAGACACTGTGGGACTGAAGTTTGTGAGATACAGCAAGTCACACCGTGGTATCAGGTTAAAAGTCACAAATTGATGTCCTGGACCATAGCTCCTGTCACTCTTTTTTGTGAAGATCTAGATCTTATGTGTTAGAAATACATTTTATTGAATAGCCAACCTTTTTAAATGTGTCATTTAATATGAACAGATCTAATATTACACGAATTGCTGAGTTTTGCTGCAGTCATGTGAAGCCTGAAAGGGAGCTATAGTATTAAAGATCCCTTTTTTACAAGAAGGACCCTGGAGGGACAGCAGCTCATCCATTTAATTACATACAGGGGGAAATCATATTCATAGTTTAATTTAATAGTTTTAAAAAGCTTTTATAACTATAGATTCACTAGTGCAATTAACTATAAGTGGAGACAGTTTTCAGATACAGGATCTGCTAATTATATGCTCTGAGACAGAATAGTGTTGCTTCAATTACATTGAATCAATATCTTTTGCCATGATGTCAGGGTAAGCTGAAACCTGTGTTCAGCCATGCCTCCTGTTATCATATTAACATGAAGGCTTCATCATTAGTCATGATTTGAGGCTCTAAAGTTCAACATAAATTGTCAGCTACAAAGTAGCACTTGACAGTGGCAGGAATACAAAATTGCATCTAAAGACAGACAGTGACTGATTTTCCTTTTACTCAAGTTCAAGTCCTGTGTTACATTTGGAAGATTAGAAACATTCAAGGACTAGTTCAACATTTCGGGAATATTCTCTTTCTCACTGAGAGTTAGATGAAATGAAGATTTATATACCACACTCATGTTAAATGAGCCAGCTAAAGCCAGTTGCCAGTTAGCTTAGCTTAGGACAAAGTGTGGAAGCTGTCCCATTCAAAAATACATAGATAACATAGATAAGATAAGTCTCATTTGACTAAATTTGAGGGTTTTTTGTTCCATGACATGCCATATTATTGATTAACTGATCGGTATAATTTGTAAATGTATTAATATAAAAAAATAAGCTGCAGCCCCAAATAATACCAATTACTGCAAATGCTAAATAACGTCCTTGTGTTTATTTGAGATACTGTTGTTGCACTATAAAATGTCACCTCTCTGCAAAAGAAAATGTCACCCCTCCCGCACTTAATGATTTCTCTTATGAAAACACCTACTGACATGAAGTGTTTAGAACTGACGTAAGTGTGGCAGATGCAGTACACCTACATAGAAAAGCTTTTTGTGAAATTGCAGTAGGTTAGATTGATACTGTGTTCTGATACTTTATATGGAAATTATTGCGAATACACAGGAAAGCAGAATCGTTTGTAATCCAGTCCAGTGCATCAACTGGTTTCTTTTCAACTGACTGAAACACTTTTTATTTTCATAGGTGCATCTTATTCCCAGCTTTGTGAGTCCAGACGAGAGAGGGAAGGAAATGCCCTCCCTTGATTGTGGAAATCCTGAAAGCCCTCTTTTAATTTTTTCTTTTCTGGCTGTGAGAGCAGTGGTGCAGATGCAACTTAACACTCACTACACAGGATATCTGGGCCTGAGGATTAGCTGGAGATAGCTGGAGATCAATCTACATAAACCCCCCTGGAGCTTCTTCTCTCCTTCCCTCTCCTTCTCCGCTTTCCTTTTTTTCCTTGTGAACATGGCAGAAAGGGTGCGCCCCCAGAGAGCATTCTGGGTGTTTAAAAAGAGGGCATGATCAAAGGGGTTAGGAGGCAGTGGACTCTGTGATCACGAGGCATGTGGTCCATTCCCTACAGTGTTCTCACAACAAAAGGTCTGCCTTGTAAGGACCAGCGTGTGTTTGTGTGCATGCAAGATGAAAGAATCTGGGCTTTGGGAAAACAACCTGCATACCGCTATTTGCATCTCCTACGTTACACTTTTTTTTTCAAATTGCCAATCAAGAAGCAATCAATTCATTCTATGTATTGTTGATATTGAAGTTACAAAGCCTATAAGCCTACCTTGGTTACGATTTGCAACACCAAGAGATGAAGCATTTGCTCGATCTGTGTAAAAATGGGAGAGGTTATAAATTACACTGAGTTGTCATATAATTCATGCTGTTATATGTAGTTAAAGCACAGGGACAGCATGCAGAGATTCTCGTTTTTTACATTAATCCGTTTGTTATCTGGGCTAATTGCCTCAGAGTTACTGGAAAATGTCTGGCAAATGTTTAGTAGTAATGTAGAATAGTGTGCATGCAGCTTAAATGAGTGAATTTTTCACAAGACAAAATGCAGAGACATGTACATATGGTAGCTGCTTTTGTTATCCAGTACGAGGAGTCACCTTCAGGCATCAACATGCATATGGATGCATGGTGGAACCATGTCTTGATAAAAGATGTTTTTCTTTTCTCTGGCTTTGGGCAAATATCTGTCTGTGCGCTTACAGCAAATATTCTTGTGTGGGAAAAAAAAAAGGATTCTCAGTAGTACCTACTGATACACTGGCCCAAACATGCAGGACTCCCAACAGTATTTCATGGCCTAGCAAGTAATTTAAACGTAAACCATATGTTTTTTGCTGCTGACCATTTAGTAAACCATGCTTAAAGTATTTCTTACCTTAAAACAATGGATGCCTGCAGGGTAGGAAACCTTTCAGGCAGCCATTGTTTTTCATTCATTTGTGTACAATATGAAAATGAAAAATCGTTTTAAAACTTGCTCCTGGTGTGTAATTTACCACAAAGTTTAAAAAGGCTCCATGGTCATTAAGTTAACCTACTCATTGATGTTAATGCTACATGTAAATATATGGAAATCAGCCATTGATTCAATATATTGAACAGGACAGCATGGTTTACAAAACGTTTGGCAGGAAGGTGGAGTATATATGATTTGATCAGTTAAAGTCCTTGTTGTCCTGTTATTTTTTCTTCTTAAAACAAGAAAATGTTGCCAATGGGGTGAGAAAATTCTACTTGTTTCAAATGCAGCTTCTTATAATTGTCACAATTAAAATTGCATTGGAGAAAAGTAAGGTTTTCTCACACCATTCGTTGGTTCACTTCCATTCATAAAAGCAGGGTATCAAGATGTAATCCTACAGTAATTTCTTGTAAGGGGGGATTTTTCTCATTGTGGAAAATATACTGATGAATGAAAACGGTAATGTATGGCACAAATTCTCAATTCACAACATCATCAGTCAGACAATAGTTAGTCATCACTGAGGGAGGAAACCATTAGTCAGCATGCCAATTTAAAAAGTTTGATAAACTTACGCACTGGTCCATGATTACTGGGAACACCTACGGAAAGAGCAAATAAACAGTGTTCAATTAAAGCTTGACTCATGCCATTTTACTCTTGAAACTTTAGTCATGAAACTGCAAGAGAAAACATTTTTGTGAGTTGTTTGCCTTGAATAATTCAAAGCCCTGCAGCACTTCCAATTGGTCTCCACTGTGTCCACTGATTAACAGCAGCCATGGCTCTGCAGAAAACCTGACCACTGCATGGTCCAACACCCGCCCTCTACTGATGATAATAACAGGTCTGCCAGTGATGAAATGTCAACAGAATCAAAACTCTAAGTACATAACATGTCTTTTCATCACCATTTTCATTTATGTTTGAAATAAACATGGTTTCTGCTATTGGCATCTCTTAAAAGATAGATAATTCCTCTATCATCTTTGAATTAATTAATCAAACAAGACAAACAGCATCTGTAATAATTCATAGTATTCATTGTGATCTTCTCCAATTGATAGGTTAGGGGTTTCCAATATAGTGTTGTAGCATAAGCAAAACATCACCTGTAAACTACGTAGGCTGAAAGAAATATTAGAAAGTAATTTTATAAGCAGTAAAACAAAAGGCCCTGTCTGTGTGCTGGAGCTGACTTTGGCAACCCTGTTGCAGCCATTGTCTGGGACATATGTGTTATCAGTTTCTGGCTGTAGAGTCACCATCATTGTGTTACACTAATGTAATCAGTGGACAAATCCTACCCCACAATTAGTGCAATTTCTGATCCTTTTATTTAAGCTTTACTGTGTTGCCCTCCAGTGATTATGTTTCTCTGGGGTTTTCATATTGTTTGCAACACATTCATCACTTTATTACCAGTTTGGAGCAGTCACAGCAACTCTTGGCCAGTGCACAACACTGCAGTAGCAGGTAAAGCACGAATTTTAAGCTCCAATTTGCAAGAAAGCAAGCAAGGTGCAATCCCTAACCAATAGTTGGTCTGTGTGAGAAATGGAGGGCAAACAATATTGCCCTTTGAAGCCAAATCACATTCTATAGTCTGATCAAACTCTCAGCCCCAACCCCTCTTAACCTGTGAACCTGCTTTGGAACACGAGATGAGTTGACGCTCCCTGTAAAGTGGACTGTCAACATAATTCTCGAAGTGATTCCTCTTCTGCTCTGCAGCGAACTTACAGAGCTTTCTCCTCCTTCTTTTAGGGAAGCCTTGGATTTGAATCACTCTCAGTCACTCTCTGCAGCTGACAGCTATGGCCCATAGCAACGCAGGGCTCCATTTTGGGCCCTCTAATTTATGACTAGATGAAGGGTCACGTATGTCCATATATCTGCATGTGCAGGGATTTGAATATGTAATAGACCTCGCCTTGTTCTTACCTGTGAGATAAATGACTTCCATGATTAAAGAGGAAGACTTGATGACAGATGAAAGCTATTAAACCATAATTACATTTTACACGTTCAGCATATTTGTCTTGATACAAGGGCTGTATGTTTAATATCCTCATAGAAAATATGAGCTTCTCATAATGGATAAAGGCATGTTACATGGCATTGGCTTTACTTATGAGAGAAATAAGAATAATTTAAGACAAAAGTGTGTTCATTCAACACCTGGGGGACCAATATTGCTACGTCACTTCCATGTGCAACATTATTGCATTTTATGCCACTGCCAAACAAGTGCTAATATTGCTTTTGATATGGCTAGACCTTGGTTTCATCAGTTCAGTGCAGATGCGGCCAAGTGTTGGATTTTTTAATAACGGCCTGTCAATCTGACAGTGAGCACCACATTGCAGGGAGACTCATAACACAGAAGAGGTGCAGGGGTAAATCCAGCAATATCTCCTTAGAGTTCACAAACGTTCTCACAAAAAACTCCCACATGCAGTCAGATGTGTTTTTTGTGCACATACATACATACATACATACATACAAAACCATAGACTCATAAGATACACTCACACAAAATTACTTTATAATCATCCAATTCATCATCATAGCCCAAAGAAGTGCAAGCTAGAAAAAGCACCGTTACTGCAATAATGTACTCACACCAAATCAGTGGATCAATAGCAATATCATATCTGTGTACAAATCTAATCAGAGCAACCATGTCTGAGAAATCAAGTCAGACAATCAAACTGAGCATCTGAAAAACCTGCTGTCAGTCCGAGCAGGCCGTTGCCATGAGTGTTTCTGACTGTAAGGCTGAATCAGTGTGAACGGAGGACCAGAGGGCTAGATCTTCCACCATCTGGCCCCGCCTGGCTGTCCACCACCACATCCCTGAGTGGCTGTATTAGATTTATTGAGGCAATGAGCCCCCTGCCTCAGGCAAGGGATTTGATAAATGTGACTCAACTCCCGTCCAAGATTATAATGGGGATAATGCAAAAGAGCACCTTCTGCCTCAGAGTTACCACGTGAACAGGCAGAAAAATATTCAGCGCAAGGTTGTCATGGAGTTGAGGTAGGAGTATTACATTTAATATTAAAGAATTGGAATCAGTGCTATTTACTTAATAATGAATGAATGAAACATAACATGATTTATCAATTGATCAAGTTATTAACTTGATCAACTTTTCAACAGGCAAGACGTGGTTATATCTAAATCTAAACAAAATAAGTTATTTCTTATTACAGCCTACCAAAATGACTGTCAGGGTATTGTGATTGACCAGCATAATGGATTAAGTATAGGTTATAGAATAAATTTAGCTTGAGTTCCGCTTACAAGCCTTTTGGGAAGCTGTAGAACTTTCCAGCAGGTGTAAATATTGCTTATATATATGCCTATTAAAAGTGAAGGTGTTAGGATTATTCCGGGGTATTTGAGAAATAAAGGCTGTACATTTACCACCTTGTTCCAAATGCAGGCAATTTTATTTATATTCACATATTTTTATAATCATACTCAGGGTACAGGGTTTGTTTTTATTCATTTTCCTGTCCCAGACTGGTTTTCTGTACTGCATAATTAGTCAACAGTGCCAGTGGCTCGCCTTTTTAAGTTCATTTCAGTTTAACTTGAGGTCGTGACATGGTACCTTGCGGTGATGGCTATAAACTAGGCATTGCTATAATCAAAATCAAGCATTAATATCACATGAGATGCATTGTAAAGGTCATTTGGGTTATCTGGTTTTTGTGTTTAGGTGTTTTCGTTGCAGGTTTACAACTAACTAACGTCGCTTAACCTAACTACCATTTAAGGTCACTAATATCAAGCTGACAGGCAGCGTAGTTGTAGCAAGTTTAGGCCTACCTAGTGTGTGATGCTATTGTGTATGTGTCCGCAATAAAAATCATAAAGTTGACTTGAGTTGTATCCGCCCTAGTCTTCCAGGAGGTGGAGTTTTATTTTTGAGCTAATAGCAGGTAGTTCAGGTAAAAGTCTGGACATAAGCTTTCAGCTGGGTATCCTTTACTGTCTTCATTGGCATATTGGCTTGTCATGGAGATAGCTTGGTTGCTGGCTTGAAATTGGGTTCACCGTTTGTAACAGCGTGTTATACTCCTTGTAATGCTTGGAATGGGATACAGATGCTTACAAGTCCCCCCCCCCCGGAAAGAAATTAAGGAGGTTAAAAGCTCCTGCAAAAAGCTATAGCGGACTTTCAGTTAATATTATTTGTTACTGTATCCAAGATCAAGAATGCAACCTGATGGCTGCAAATAAAACTATCTTAGGGGAAGACATGGTACCAACATTGACCAATGATTGTTAAAGGATGCAACTGTCCCCGTTTTGTGCAATGTGTACCACCTTTTTGAAAACTCTAACCCACACAAATTACCACCGTACTACTGTGTGTTCAGGACAAAATGTGAAGGCGAATTTTGGTGCCACTGGCAGATAAATCAATAAGAAAAACAATGACACCCAAATTTCGGTGGAGTTAAAAAATATTTATATATACTTCAGAAAAATACATGCTGTATCCCTGGGCGTTCATGAAATATGCCTCATAAATTTACAGGAGAATACAGAGATGAGAGGAAAAAAGAGAGGAACTGGAGGGAGATAACAGAAATAACTGAAGTTTCTTGTGAGTTCTGGGTTCAGTCAGAGGCTGTAGACAAACACACACACACAGACACACTCCAACAGACACAATCAGTTGCTAGCTAGCCTCCAGCTAATGTCTGTACAGTTGGTAAATTGGCTGTCCAGCGGTCAAGTTAATGCAAATGACGTGAGACAACAATTTACTTTGCTTTCTGTCTTAACACAACATGAAGCATTTTGGGGATAGAATGATATTCTGATTCTTCCATTTTGCTTCTGAGAGAATATAGCCATTATTCACATGATAGAAAACAGAGTTTTCCACAAGAACTTAGGTCAAGAAGAAGATTAATTCATTAATCCCCAATGGGGAAATCCATTTTCTAACAACCTGAATGAGCAGAGAGTAAATTGCATGTTCTCAGAATATTATTTTATATTTCATATTTTCGTAAGAGTTGTGTTTACTCACAGTGAAGAGCTCTTTCAAAGGCAGAGCAGGTGTTTGTTCTCACATGAGATATTACAGTTTCATATACCACATGTATTCCAAATATACTTCTCGGTATTTTATTTTATTTTACTCCTGTGATGATGATAAAGAGGTGCAACAATCTCTCAAGGGCAAAGAGTAAAACATTTTCAAAAATAAAAGGTTGCTGTCTGCTGTAGCCAGATAGGAAATGGTCGGTTACTACCAGCACCAACAGTATCACTAGCAAATAAGCTGTATGGTCAGTCTACGACTACTATTATAAGAAATATTAGTATACTTACATATATTTGCCGTTCCTTTGGGTATAGGGAGGTAGGAGCCCACACTCCAGGCTCTTCCGTGGTAGTGCCTCTTACAGCGGCTGCAGTCTGGCCCTGTGGTGTTGTGTTCACACTCACAGCCCAGCTTCCCCTTGTCAAACACACAGCTGTTGGCATGCAGGTTGCACTTGCACCTGAGACAGAAAGATAACAACAAAAGACGGACGCATGAATAGGCATCATTCCGCACCCATTGAATCAATATCCTCTGGAGGGAATACACAAAGTCTGCCCTTGCTGCAGTGTCTATTTGTGCTTTTCAAATTTTTTGACAGGGGTAAATTGAAATCCTGGGTGGGTTATCTGACTTGGATCGTGCTTTCACAAAGCTTCATTATGCTCTCCTTTAAAAAAACAAGGCCTCATTTGTTGCTGCCCCTGCGGAGAGAACAGCAACGCGAATAAGGTCACTTTTGCCACTCTGAGAGCTAAATGAAAGGCACTCTGTAAGATTCACTAATTGAGCCTAAAACAGGGATCTGATAGAGAAATGATAGCATAAAGAGAAGCAGCGTAGCCGGAGAATTCTCTTTTTTCTTGCTCTTCAAAGTTACTGTGTTATTTGGCAAGGGAGCCTTCAGGCAGGAAACCCTACCGTTCGACGGAGCTGGTTTATTAGACAGAACTGTGGCAGAGCTGACAGATGCTCCTGACAGGAGAGGAGAGAAGGCCCGACGGCTTTCAACACTCAACCAAATCCACCCCCGTTATTCTGACCACATGGAACATGCCTGCCAAGCGTTCCAAGTGTATAGAAAAAGAACTAGTAGTTTGCACTTGTTCTAAGAATCTAAATGAGAAGAGAGTAAATTGCATGTTCTCAGAATATAACCTTATTATTTTCGTAAGAGTTGTGTTTACTTACAGTGAGGAGCTCTTTCAAAGGCAGAGCAGGCTGTGTTTGTGGTCACATGAGATATTACAGTTTCATATACCACATGTGTTCCAAATATAATTCTCTGTATTTGATTTTTACTCCTAAGAGGGAAAAGGGTTACAACAAGTGACATCAGCTTCTTGGGCAGCTGGGGGTGGTTGAAACAGTTGGGGGGGGGATCGAGTGGATCTGACACACTACCCGTCCACAGGGATTTGGACGGCTCATGGTTTCACATCATGACTATGTTTGTTTTTACAAAGTGCTTCCGCATATCTGTTGCCTACAATCGGCAGTGAACATGAGACAGAGAAATCACAGCAGCAGTCAGAAATACATCCATTCTAATTGACTTCCTGGCCTTACTGTGACATCTCGCATTAATGATAGATAACTGCGGGAAACAAGGGAAACTATAGCCTGTTCTGTGTAGCTGATAAGCGGCATTAAAACGTCTAAATAGGGTCTAAAGTAATGTGGATGTCTGGTAACACCCACATATGGGTTAGACTATTTTGCATCTATAAGCACTATATACTATACTTGTATAATTATCTTTATTTAAATTCATGCTTTCCACCAACAAACATATATAATAATACCTTGATGTACAGGATAGTAAATATCCTGGGATGGTGTCACGCTAACATAAAATAATATTTATAACAAAACAAAATGACATTTGCTTATTAAGGGTTTTAAATTATCCACAAATATCCTTATAATAGCTTACTGCAATTTTGCAAGTTTTAAATAGTTTATAATGAGCAACAATTATAAATATTCACATACTGTATTGTCTTATACCATACAGTACGCTCAAGCATTTATTACCTGTTTGTGTACATAAAACTGTATTTAAAACTACTGAATGCATCATTATATATGATTCTATCTATGTTAACAGTTTATACATTATGGATGTGTAAAGTAAAAATTGTTAATAAATACATTCATCCTATCTGTTTACACCTATGTAACAGTGTGTTAAGCATTAAATGACTTAATCTGGAATGCAAGTAAAAAAAAAAAAAAACATTATTACTAATACATCTGTGATGAGAGGTGCTCACTTGGTAACAAAAGTGCCTGAAATAGTTCAAGCAATAGTAACAGCAGAATCTTTTCTGATTTGTTACTGTTTTCAATGATTCATTCAGTACATAAAACTCTAAAATCTTTAGTGATCATTCACGTTACCCTTAGATGATCATATACACCTTTAAGTTAAAGCCCCAAAAAACTAAACTTCATTTGTAGATACATAGATTTAGAAAGCTACAGCAACATTAAAGTTGAAAACAACTTCTTGAGTCTATACAAGAAAATCACCATCTTACCTCAGGTTAAGTGCTGTCTCACAATATTAGCAGCCATAATGGATGCGACTGAATATCAGCACACATTCATAGCAACTAAATGCTAGTGCCTCTTACCACGCATTCCCCATAGTCCTTAACTTTTTAATCAATTAAAGTCCCTGCTCCATAAAATTAATGACTGGGTGTAGCTCTTCTGCCATGCAGACAGCAGCAGCTCCCTGAAGTAAAGAGAGATGAGATTTGACCTTCCACTTAATTAAAAACCAGCAAAATTTGGATCATCGCGCCTAACCGGTGCACGCTGATAGAGTAGAGGATGTGGACTCAGGGGAGCTCTGGGATGTGATGCTTTTGCCGCTGGCATTGTCATATTGAAATCAGAAAGCTTTTCTGTCCCCGGTTTGGGTCACAAGAGAGAAGAGATCCCCTATATGTCCAGCCTTTCGAACCTGCACCATTACAAAGACACATTTCATGAAGTTTTAATGACCTTTTATCCCGTGCACTGCCCAATAGCAATTGGTATTATCCATTATCCAAACAAGTGACCCTCCCTTAGGATGTACTGGAGATCATAGCGTCTCTCTGTCCTTCCCATCAATTGCGTTTCTTCAGCTGGGGGTAAAAATGCTCTTAGAAAGGATGAAATGAACACTGTTATCGATAAAGTATGTGTCAGTTACTGTTGAGGTGTGTGTGTGTGTGTGTGTGTGTGTGTGTGCATGAAAGCGGTAAAGGGTGTCATTACTAGACACTACTAAAAGGAAAGTGAAAGGGAAGGGAAGTCCATCAAAATCACAAAAAGGCTTTTTCTCACTCCTGTTATCAAACTATGAAGATATTTTCTTTATTTGTGCAGGTTTTGAGATATCTGTGTCTGAGATTTCTGTCTCCACCTCAACATAATGGATGTGGATGGCATTTAGTCTGTGATGCACACAGCATTGAAAATTGTAATGAAACATGTACAATGTGTGCCTTTGGGCTCATCAAAGGTTTTTATCTAATCATGAATGTTGTCATGACCTTCTTAGTTATACAGTAAATGACCTTCCTTAATCCTCACATTGAAAAAAGACATTTATGCTGTCCGTGGTGAATAATGTGATACAGATTCTGGTCTTTTTTCAAAATAAATTTGCATACCAAATGTAAAAAATAACAAATTTTTATAGTGAAGTAAGGTGAGGCGAGGGTCTAGTTTATGTTCTGGAGCAGACAGCAGCAGTGCCCTGTGTCTTCTCTTTTGGCTGCTGCTTAACCTTGGTTTCTCCTGGCTGCCTGGCACTGTCGTGATGGGCTCACCATGTCTAACACAACTTTCCTTCCTTGTGACAGCTTCTAGCAGAAGAGCAGAGAACTCGTTAAAGTAGAAGAGGCTGAACTGACAGGGAAACTTTCATTTTTTGCTCATTTTAAATGTAACCTTACAAAGACTTCCAAGAAAAGACACTCAAAGCCATTGATTTCTTGTCTACATTTACAGTAATCAAACCTTTAACTGTTATTGAATAAACAGCATTTTTGCCAAAGTGTATTAGTCTAGTCTATCGCTAAGGTAATTGTACAAGACTAAAGAGTATGATATAACATTTGTTGCATAACCTTTCAGACAAATTGCTAATAAATTACAAGGGTTCATGGGGATAGGAATCAGGAGAACTGATTAAAAAACACACTGCATTTGAATGGGGTCATTTTTACTCTGTTGACGAGAAGAGTCCATATGAATGCCCCCCTCTTGTCGTATTCACAACCAACAAGAAATACCTAATTGAAAATGGCAGAAGTAAAGAAAAAAGGATAAGTCTAAATACTGCAAATTATGGAAACTTGCTTACTGTCATGGATTACGGAGACACTTTAATAGAATGAGTTAATTGATAATGTTATAACACCTGTTATTTTCCTACTATGACAAGTTAAAATCACTGCTGTAAATAAGTCGTTAATACATGTGTGCAGACCATTGGCATCAAAGAAGAAGAATATAAGCATTGCTAGATTTTTCTGTTCAAACTTGGCTAACTTTAGATGAAAAGTTGTTTTGGCATCTTGGTTATACTACATATAACCATCATTTTGACAGCATTTCACTGAGTGTATTTTAGTGTAGCATGCTGTTGAAACAACAGGTATATGTAACTCAGATGCCCCCAAAAGTTTACTTTTCAATTAATGTTAGTCCTGTTGTAACCACACTGTGCTTATGAAGTAAAGTTGGCACTTTCTATTTTTTGCACTTCAATTCGTGGCTTCTTGCTACTATAAATCTCATATTATTTTACTTGAACAGTTGCTGATGCTGACTATAATACAATAATACCTACAATACACTAGGCTATATGTGTCTAGTGTTTCATGTTGGTCCCTAACTTGGATTTTCTTTCTCTTTGTGGATGTGATTGGCCTAATTGATGGTTTGCCCCTGCGGTAGAGTATAAATCCTGAGGCTCAGGGGGCCAGGTCGTACACTGATGAAGGGCTGGCAGCTTAAAATGTCTGTCTGTGCATTATTTCCCATT